CTGTTGAGGGCCCTACCCTGCCTGGGGAGTGGTAGGTGGATGGGGTGGGAGGTAGGTTGGGGGTAGGAGAGGAGGGATGGGGGTGAGGGTAGGGAGAGGGAGAAGTGACTTACATGTGAAATAAGCTTGTTCCCTAACTTGAACTAATAAAAAAAAAAAAAGAAAGAAAGAAAAGAAAAGAAAGTGTGCTACATCATCGCCACATCACCAGTCACCCATTATGACTCTGGACATGTGTGGAACCTCAGTGCGCATGCGCAGTCTTCCCTTTGAGAGCTCCAACTTTCCTATGTCACTCTCTCTCTACTCTGTTTCTTCTTGGCTCTCTCTCAGCCTCTCTCTATGGCGACCGGCCATGGCGGTCAGCCCTTACCCTTTTTCCTCTTTTCTCTCAGTCTCCCTCCTCTCCTGGGCCCGGATAATAAACTAGTCAACATGTCTCATCTTAAAAAAAAAAAAAAAGAGAGACCCTGCCCACTTCTCTCTCTTCCCTCTCTCTTTCCTGTTGTTCACCTGGGGCAGACTGGAATTTTCTTGTCTCCCTCTTCTCTTCTGTCCTCTCTCTGTCTCTGTGTCTTTTTACCTCTTTTCTCTTTCCTTCTCTTTCTAATAAAACTCCCCTCTTAAGCTCTGCTGCCTGGCATGTTTATCCTCAGCTTCCTTCTACCTCGCCCTCCATGGAATCCACCAAGGTTCCCCACATGATAAGAAAAATAATAACCCTTGTATGAAACATTACTTTATTCTTTTAGATGTCCTGTGATCTTTTGTAATTTAGGGATCTGAATCCTACCTGCTAATATCAATAACTCCCTACCTAGGAGGTGAGGGAATTAAATGAGATAATGCATATAAGGTACTTTGATAAAATCTTAATAAATGGAAGTTCGTGGGCTGGGAACTCCAGTTTGGTTAGACAATAAATAAGAATCCTAAGTTCATTTTAAAAGTGTCTTAGAATTGCATCCTCATGTGCTAAAAAGACTTCTAAAGGCAATAATGATTTTATTATCACTGAGAAGTTACTGTAGTAATAGATGTTGTAGTGTGTGGTCTAATATTCCAAAGGAAGGGAAAGGAGTCTCGAGATTTGGCCATTGCAACCAGACAGCTTGATGTTTCAATCCCACAGAAAATTCCAGGTGATTTATGGACTGGGAAAAAATGTTTTATATAAATGTTAAGAGGAAGCTGTGGTTGCTGAAACCAGAACTTAATAAAATGCAAGTCATGCTGAAAGCAAAAACATTCCTTTTTTAAAAAAAGAATTTGGTATGAAAAACTAATCAGAAAATGCCAGAGATAAGTAAATATTTCAAGAGAGCATGTGAAAATGGTTAAATAGCACTTTGATAGGCTAATATATATTTTGAATAGCCAAATAAGCATTCTTTATAAATTATCTGATTATATAGTTTATATTCTGTAGAGTGTTTAATGAAATCTTGAAGATCTTGGAGTAAGCAAAGTATTGTGAAACAATACTCTAGTCCCAGTAGTAGTGTCCACAAATAGATAGCCTTTGACATACTGTGATTATTTACAAGTGCCTTTTTTGTTTTGTTTTGTTCTTTGGTTTCTCTATGTAACAGCTGTTTCTGTCCTGGCACTCTCTCTGTAGATCAGCCTGGCCTCAAACTCACAGAGATTCACCTGCCTCTGCCTCAAAGTGCTGGGATTAAGGCATTCACAACTTCACCACCGACTGGCACAAGTGTTATTTTTTAAAAGGAACACAGTCTTTCCAACCAAAGAGAATCAAGGAGCAAATTATATAAAAATACCTTATAGAATGAGTACTGTTGTCCTAAGTCTTGATTTCAGGTTTTTCAATGACTAGGTTTTATTTTTATTTTTTAAGGTAAATGTTATATCAAGAAAAATTCTTGTTAAAATATTATAAAGATTAACATATCTAATTTATAAAGAGCACATACACATAAAGAAAAGCATCAGGAGGATCCCATTGAAATGAGAGTGAAGGGAATGAATGGAAGCTCTACAGAGCTAACAGAATGAACATTATCCTCACTTATTGTCAATGAAATGGAATGAAAATTAATATTCACAATTATCATGTAACAAATTAGCACAGTCATAGACAAGCATGGTATTTTCTGTGTGAGGGCATGAACAGAGGGCATGAACAACCAGGGTCCTGAATTGTTGCTGGGAGTGGACAAAGAGCTTGCTAATCAAATTAATACTTTGGATTAAGAGTCTTGACAATGTTCAAAACCAGCAATTCAATTTCCAAGGAAACAACACCCTTCCAGGGTGATGGTTAGAAGTTCTCCATGAATATTAGTTGTAAAGGTATTTCTCCTGATGGTGTGTGTGTGTGTGTGTGTGTGTGTGTGTGTGTAAGAGAGAGAGACAGAGAGACGACAGAGAGACAGACAGACAGACACACACTCACACACACACATACACATACACACACACACACACAGAGAGAGAGAGAGAGAGAGAGAGAGAGAGAGAGAGAGAGAGACTTTAGCATTTTTCCTTTCTTTTTGAGATTATTTGTATGCCGTTTGCTTAGTTTAAGCAAACTGTAATGGGAATTCTATCTAGGAGGTCCAAGGCAATAGGTTTGGATTGGACGTAAAGATTTTTATGGAAGCAAGGGTGGGTGCTGTGGCTTTACTGAATTCCACTCAGTGGAATTATGTCTGCTATTAGTAACACTTAGATCCATGTGATACTGAAAGAGATGGAGAACATGGAACAGAGCAGAACACCTCACTAGTGGAAGGAATCAACATTTGTCAGTGCAAGTGTAAATGCATAAACATGTTTTTAACTATTTAAGGAAACAAAAGTCTGTGTGCAACTTATTTTATGAGAGCATTATGCCTCTGTTTCTATCTATTAGCTAACAATCATGTAGAGATGAAAGTGGGACTTAAGACAAGCCCTAAAAAACCATGGGTGAATTCTTCATTTTCAAGAGGCTCAAAATTAGGAGTACGTGTGCCAATCCTTTTATGGGAACATGGACAGCTTCAGGCTACTTTAAATTTAGCTTAAAGCTCTCATGCTCCTCCTCGACTTGAAAAATTTTCCAGATTTGATTCCAACAAATCAGCAGATGAGCTTAAGAGTCAAAAATTAAGACACATGAAGGCAGGGAACTCCAGACAACAATCACGCAGAGCCAGCTGTTCTTGGCCCTAGATTTTAGCAACTCTGGGTTTCTGAAGGTGGCATGTGGTCTTGCAGTAATCCTGGTCAATCTAGTGTTTTGCTTTAAAAACAAAACAAAACAGCTCTCTTGCCCACTTGGAACTCACTTGTGACAGCTGCTGAAAAAACAGGAAGTGATTGGAATGCTTTTACAGCTTTTGTGGACCGCGGGCTGCTTTACAGCCTGTCTCCAGAAAGCAGCTGTACAGGGGGTGAAGCACCAACAGGAGTCTCCTACCTCACTGAGCTCCGCTTGCCAGTTTTGGGCGCATGTCAAATGCAAAGCACGTTTAAGTACTGTGGTTTATTTCTTATTCATGTATTATTATTATTATTATTTTTTTCTTATTTGGCGGGGTTTGTGGGACGGTTGGGTTACAGAAACTAGTGGGGGAGGGGAGGGAAAGAGGGAAAAGAAGGAACTAGGAAGAGAGGAAGTTAAACTCAGCTCCCCTCCCTGTCTTTATTAGGGAACCCAATATGGCATCTTGCATGAGGAGCTTGTTTTCTGACCACAGCAGATACGTTGAATCTTTCCGGAGGTTTCTAAACAATTCCACGGAACACCAGTGCATGCAGGAATTCATGGACAAGAAGCTGCCAGGCATAATAGCAAGGTAACAAAAAGGCGTTTCTGTCAATGGGCTAACCAGTGGGCCAAAGATGGATAGTTGGACACAGCCCAATCGGTAGGCAGAGGTGGAGGAAACATTGGGATTAGAGTTAGAGCGGATCTCAGCTACCTGCTGCGGCCGGACCTTGCCTAAACCGGCTGGGCTAGCTTCTGCTGCTCTGTGTTTGCTTTAAATACCCTTTAAATACCGAGACACTGATTTGTGCTGCATAGCTGGCAGTGCAGTGTTAACCATTTGAAGGCTTTAAAGGCACAAGCCCGACCTTATTTGGAAAAAGATAAGGTACAAATCATTAACCTCAGATTTTTTTTCTAGCTTCTTTTCAAATTCATTTTTTTTTAAAGTTCCAAATGGATACTAGTGTTCTTTTCTTTAGAATCAAATATAAGTAATTGCAGAATACTGTTTGCTTCAGGGCAGAGAATTAGTGCTTCTCAATTCTAATGAATTCAATTCATTTCCTTTATCTGTTATTGTAATCATTCTGCCAAAAGCTGTCTTTTCCTTTCAACTTAATATTACTAAAATGATCCTGAAAAGGGATTGTCTTAACCATTCTCAGTGAAACTGGTTTCTTGCCTCTCCAGACTCCTTTATTTATCACTTATTTTTGATTAATGTGTTCAATTTGTACGAAAGCTGATAAGCATTATCCAGGTAATGGATTCCGCAGGCTAAAGATAATCAAGTCAACTATCTGGGGATAAATTGTTTCCACTTGTTCTGTTTCAAGAAGTAACTATGGAAAACTAGTAAGAAATGACTGACTGTGGACCTAATTTACAAACAACAAAGAAATCTGGTATTTTATCTTTTGCAGTCTGACTTTCTCTGTGGAGTTAGTTTCCTGTGGTGATTCTTCTGTCTAACTAGAGCAGACTTGTTGGACAAATACAGAATTCTCCTCCTTCTCTTCCTCCTTTTATCTGCTGTTTCCCCAGCCTTGTATTTTCTGTCTTAACAAGGTTAAAGAATTGATGTGTAATAGGATAAAGGGTAAAATATCTAAACCATGGGCTAAACACCCCACCCTATGCACTCATAGATAGATTCCACTAAGTATAAGTGGATTTGGGATTTACAGTCCACAGCACAAGAAGTTGGGAGGGACACCTGGTGGTTGGGAGATAGAGGAAAAATTTCAGAAGAAAGTGAAGGCTCCCTCTGAGGCCCTGAATTAGACACAAACCACACCCAAACTCCCGTTTTCACAGAGAGATCCTTTATTAATGGAGGAAGAAAAGTTAAAGTGGCTACTTTCTGACCCAGGCAAAAAAACAAAACAAAACAAGAAAACAAAACAAAACCAAAACAAACAAAACAACAACAACAACAAAACAGCAACAAATGGCCTTGCTGGTATAATTTTAGGGGGAGATAAAGGGAAGGCCTGTGTTAAAATGAGCTAAGATGCATGGGTGTTTGGATTGGCAATGTTAATTAGGTGAACTAAAGGGAGCTTTTGATTGCTGGACTTTAATACTTTTATGGCTAGACCTTGGTAGTCAGCAGGAGGAGGAAATGGCCAAACAAGGAAATAGACCTTCTTGGCTAGCTTTAGGAGTGTAATCCAACAGTTTTTAGCAAGGCAGAGGGAACTTGGGAGAAGGGCATAGCCTGCCAGAGCCACATGCTGGAGTGGGCTAGTCCCTTCAGAAGGAATACTGGGTGAATTTGATCAAAACTTTTTATGTATATGTCTGACATTTTCAAAGTAAAAACCATTAAAGCAGTTACCAAATAGACACCTTTTATCTGAAATTATAATTTACATGTTGGGACCTTTCTACTCATTTCTAAAAGTACAGGTTATAGGTTACTTTCTCAATACATTTTCAGATTGGATAATACACATTCACCTCTTAGCTTAACCAGATCCTTGGTTTTCTTCACCCTCTCAGGTTAGTCTTAAGATGGATGGGTTTAACACAACAATGGCCCTACCCTGTCTTCTGAATGCATCTAGTCTAGATGGAATTTTGAGGGTAGAATTTGTGAAAGACATGAGATTTGATACAGTGGTAATACATAAAGTTATGAATTTCTGACTCCAAATGTCATTATTAAGGAAGCAATTTTGCTAGACATGGGGGCCCATGCTGTAACCCAGCACTTAGGAGGCAAAGGCAATATCTGTAGCAGTAATAATATAAAACCAGAGGTAGATATTGGGGTTCAAACTGAAGATTAAAAATGCTAAACAGGCAAACCACCAGAGAGATCTTACCTCTCCCAAGGTTGGGGCTGTCCTGTCCTCAGCATGGCTAGAGCCTAATTGCCTGGTCAGAGATCCTGCTCCTGTCTTATATACCTCTCTAGTGCTGGGATTAAAAATGTGCAACACCACTGCCTGGTCTCTGTGGCTATGACTAGCTTTGCATTCTGATCTCCAGGCAAGCTTTATTAGAACATAAACAATATATTACCACAAAGATCATGAGTTCCAGACCAGGATAGGCTACAATGTGAGACTCTGTTTCAAAGAAAACAAAAAAGAAAAAGAAAGAATGAAAGAGAAAAGAAAAGAGAACATATTTTCCCTTTAAAATTAGATTCTGCGAAAAGGAACTCCATTTTTTGCTTGAAGTAGTTTAAAAGTTACATGGTGCTACAAAATGCTTCCAAACCTCCCTGTTTCTTTAAGGGAATAGTTTTCGAAAGTGGGAGGTTGGGTATGGCAATTGCATAATTAGTGTAATACTTTTTTTTTAATAAAATGCTTTTGTGTTTTAAAAATCCAAATGATTTTAGAAAGCAGATAACAACAGCAAATAGTAATTCCTTTTCCCAAATACTTTGTCAATGAATTCCACTCTCCAAAAGCAACTATTTTTAACTAAACCTTTTTGTCCATATCAAAATCTTCAGTTTCTTGTAAATTTTTTTCAGTAGTTTTGAATAACATGCTTTCTTCTATTTCTTCAGTTTCATTACATTCTTGAGATGCTGTTTTCTTGTTTGTTTTTCTGTTTGGCTTTGTTGCTTTGTTTACTGAATTTTGAAAATTTCCGAATATTGAACTTACTGTGATAACTCTCAGGAATTCATCCTTGATCCAGGTGCTTCTTCTTAAATTCTTCACTTACGAATATCTGCTAAACTAAAATTTCTTAGAAAAAAACTTGGTAAGTTAGATGAAAACTTCTGTCAGTCTATCTTGCAGCCTCTTTTTAGAACACTCTCTTTTCCCCTTTGTTCAGGCAGCAATTGTGTGCTCAGACCTTTTTCTGACCCTTAAATCTGCATCTGAAAGAAGCCTGGAGAATTTCCTACCCATGCCATGGGTGGAATGCATTCTGATTTTACCTTGAAAGTACTTACTCATTTTTTTAAAAAGTTGATTCCTAGGATAGGCATACAATAAACACATAACACATATTTGTTTATTGAAAAGAAAACAGGGGGAAGAAAGAGGAAAAGACATATAGAGGTGGCATGGATCACCATGTCCTTTCCCAGGCCCAGGCCCAGGCCCAGGCTTTATGTCATCCATGTAAAAGGTCCACAGAACCATGTGTTCTAGTCTCCAAAGAAATGACACTTTTTCCATGTGAGATGTTTATAGTGGTGCTTCTGTGTCTCCTAAGTACAGGAAAGAGATGGAGCCTATGTTTTCAGGGACTCTAAAAAGAGCAATAGAAATAAAGAACCACAGACATGACTGTCCATTCATCCATTAGTCTTTGCTTTTCAGTGGACTTGATAGAAAGAATTGCAAATCACCTTTGGTGTTTTTCCTAAATTCTATAATTTTGTTTGTTTGCTTGCTTTTCAGGATTGGAGAAACAAAATCAGAAATTAAGATTCTGAGCATAGGCGGAGGTGCAGGTATGAATAATACATACAAAATTTATATTCTGCTAAAGGCATCATGGTATTTGTTAGCTACATAGCTCATGAACCTTATAAATACTTATACTGTTATCATTCAACTCAAATTAATTGCCCTCAATAGATTCATTGGCTTGAGATATTAGCCTTCATTATAATGTAGGATAGGTAAGAGATGAAATTTTCTTATTATTTTTGTAAGTAGAAAACCAGGATAACTTTGAATATTATTTCTTATCCAAAATTATTTACATATATATAGAAAAGGGAAGTTCCAGAATTTCTTTAAGCTTGAGCCCTTTAAGGAGTGTGGTGATATTTTGTTTGTTTTTTAACAAATAAAGCTTGCCTGAAGATCAGAGTGCAGAGCTAGCCACACTAGTTAGCCATAGGGACCAGGCAGTGGTGGCATACACCTTTAATCCCAGCCCTTGGGAGACAGAAGCAGATGGAACTCTGTGAGTTGAAGGCCACCCTGGGCTACATGAAATTGATCCAGTCTAAAAGAGAAACAGCAGTGGTGGCTCACACGTTTAATACCAGCTCAAAGGAGGGAGAGACAGAAGTGAGATGGCTGAACAGAGAGAGGAATATAAGGTGGGAGGAGACAGGAGCTCATTGCATTCAGTCTGAGGATTTGTAGAGACAGGATTGTTCTTTCCGTCTGAGATAGAGGTAAGAACTAGGGGCTGGCTGCTCTGCTTTTCTGATCCTTCAGCTTTCACCTCCTAATATCTGACTCATTGTTTTATTATTAAGACCAATTAAAATTCTCCCTAAAAAGAGTAGTCCATGGATTGGTTATTTGTTTACTATTACTGGTCCATGTGAAGGCCTGGAAACTTTCACCAGACTGTAAGTAGATGTACAACTCCTTTCATTGAAAATATCTCAATATGGGCAAAAATTACTTAATTATAGTTAATTTACAGTATTGTATCCTCATCTCTAAAATGAATTGACCTTACTAGTTCCTTCTTCTGAATGAATTCTAAAAGTATTTTTTAATCACTCAAAGCACATTCTTATCTGTGTTTTATTAGCATAACTTGGTCTTATTATTCTTAAGAGGTTTTATTCTATAAGAAAAATCCTAACTCTGGCAAAGCAGATAGATGTACATATTATTTGTAACTACCCCCAATGAACTGTGTATCTTTGACTGATACATAAACTGAGTTTTTCTCATCAGTAAATTGGAAACACTGAGTCTCATCCACAGGATTATAATAAGAAAGCATTTATAAAGTGCTAATCATATGCTATTCATCTTGTAAGGCAAGAAACACTAAAATGACAAGTTTCTTCTTGAGGGTTAGTATTCGTTTAATTTTCAAGGTGTTAGACATCTTTAACTTAATATATTAATATAAAACATGCTGACATTGTTATGATTACAGCCTACTAAGTGGAAACTATGCTGCCACCTGTTACTTAGTGTCCTTAAGCCTGTTAAATACAAACACAGCGCCATATGAATGAGATGGATTGTAGCTCATATGAACACAAAGGAAATCAAGAGCCCTTCAGTGAAAAAGAATAGCTAGTTTATAGTGGCATTATTTGTTCAGTTTTCATAAAATTCAGTGTGCTATAATGTAATTAGGGCTAATCCTAAAAATCCATTTGCTCTGTTATCTTTAACCACATAGATAGAGAAAGCAGCAAAGATAAATCAAGAAGGTTACTGTTGTTAATCATGCTATGGAGAATGTTTAAGCTATGATACTGGGTTATTGCTTACTGATACTATAAGCACAAGAATTGAAATAGTGATGAATTACCCAAGGGGTGTCCTTTTAATTCACTTAATGAAGAGAGTATTTCCATTATGTTTGCATATGAGTTTCAGATAGCGTCCAAGCAGCAGGACTATAAATTCATAGTGCCTGTCACATATGCTCAGAGAGTATGAAAAGCCCTACAAGCAACAATAATTAATTATAATCTCTATCACTGTTTATTTAATTGTCTTTTAATATAAAGCTAATTGAATTTCTAATACAAATGTATCTACATAATTTATTTTTTGTTTTGTTTTTGTTTTTGAGATAGGATTTTTCTGTGAAGCCCTGGCTGTCCTGGAATTTGCTCTGTAGAGCAAAGGCAGGCTGGCTTGAAACTCAGAGATCTGTCTGCCTCTGCCTCCCAAGTGAATGCTGGGGTTAAAGGCATGCACTAATTTGCTCAGCTATGTATCCGCATGCTTACGAGCTATCTTATAAAGAATATCCAGCCTGCACACTGATTCTTTACATCAATAAGCACCTAGGTGCCAATAGGATTCATCAAAATATAAAGGGAAGAATACTTTGAGTACTTTTGTTGGAGGCTAAACCTTCTATTGATACCAGGCTCTATCTTTGACAGAATATGGAATAGGGTCATTCTTCCTAAGAAACTAATCAGAAACATAAGAAGAACTTAAAGAGAAATTCAAATTATATACTTAGTTTCATTAACCAAATGAAATAAATAAGTAGTACATTGAATAGTTGCGTAGACAAGGTGTCCTTGCTATGAATGAATGGAATTTCATGTATTTTGAAATTTCATATTGCAGATAGGGAATATTCATCCGACAGCCTAAAGGCAGGCACAGTCCATTGAGGAATCACACATCCTTGCCCCAGAGAGTCAGGATCTGTCATATTTTACCATCTTCAATTAAGAGGTTTATATCATCCTTGAACTTGATTGTACTTGTGGCTCAGTCTCTCAACTCTAATCTCTTGCATATTCAGCCATTGGTCTTATTCTGTTCTTCGTGCTGAGGTCCTACAACACACTTCACAGGATCTCACCACAGTCTTAGCTCCCTGGACTCTGGTTTCACTGTCTGCACGTTCTATCCTCACACACAAAGGGAAAGTCAGCAGATCTGCTACATTACCTCGTGAAAATGTCCTTTCCATTCATACAGTGATGCCATTTCTCCCAGCACAATTGAGCTAACACATACCCAAGCAAACATCGAAGAATCTGAACGTGAAGTTGCCACTTATCATGGGTGATTGTCCTCAGAGCCCAGTAACTGCCATCTTGGGGCAAACTCTGCCCCCTTGCAAAAGGTCATCTTAGCTGGCTTATTGATAGTTTACACCTTCCCCTAAGTATCCAGCTGTTCCTTATAGACTGCCAACTCTGTACATGCCCTGGAGGAGGGGTTAGAACATATATATACATATATTTATTATACATAAATATATGTATATATATGTTCTAAATTTGTATATATGCCAAGGGGGAAGACTAGAAAGGGGGAATCCATCTAGATGGCTATGGGGAAGCCCTCATTTCCACTGGCTGAGGATTTCCAGGTAGTGGCCAGTGGGGAAGGAGTGCCCATATTCCGTAAGTATTTCCTCACCTGTGCTCCGTCAGGAAGCCTAATATCTTCACTAGAAGAGGGGATAGACCTTAGTTTCATCTCCCCCTGGGAAGAAATTTTAGCAACACTGCTTTATACCACTTAGTTCTCATGTTCTTTGGTTACTTTTTATTTTCAGAAATAGGAGCAGGAGAGTATGCGTATGCAATTTTTTCTTTATAGAAACTGGTGTTTATGTCAGTAGACTTTCTATACCTTATGAAAAATAGTAAGGTTTTTATTAATAATCCAAGCAATTATTAGGGCTCTATATAGTTCAAAAGAAAGGAAATTGATGGAAAACTCCTTTGGGTAGTCTTTAAGTAATTTTCCATATCCATAGCACTATTATCTACAAATTGTATGTTCTAGTGAGGGAGAAATGCCTGAAACAAATATTGTATGAATAAACAGAAAGGAAATCACAAAGAAGACAGATTTATGGACAAAACTCAGACCATATAACCTTTACAAAGTCCAGACTGAGCAGCTGTTTATGTGTACATGCTGGTGTTTGTATGCTTTAATCAGAAGTAATGAGCAGCAGGAATTTTTGTTGTTGCTGTTTGTTTTTCTTTTTCAGGGTTTCTATAATCATATCACATTGACTTCAGCAATTGCTTTGCTTTTTAGAGAATTGACATTATTTTTATCCTAAATCTGATAGAATTTGCTTTTTTTGTTCATTTTCAATATTGATGTTACCTTAAAATTAAATCTGTTAGGGCTTTACTATCATTTAATTTCTAGGAGTATTGTTTTAAGTTAGGTGGCACATGTTAAACAAGAAATCGATAGTATTTTTGGTAAGGGGATGCTACTTATTTAACATTTATTCCTGAAAAATGTTCCAGAAAGGAGTTAATGGTAATATGTTCTCCTTGCTATGGACTTGGCATATATGAAATTTATTTTTTCCAGTTATATTCAAGTATCAGAAAGCATTACAAGAGTTAGACAGAACTGAACTCAATAATCTATCCAGCAGCTTTTTATTTGAATTCTCATTAATCTATTATATTATGTATAGGTGTTATGAACCCTCTCATAATTGTTTTGGTAATAATTTTACTGTTATCAGTTGAGAGCACTTGGGTTAGGTGAATTTTTTGTTATGTAACACATAGACACCAGAATTTCTATACAGGATAAAAAATAGAAAAAAATTTATGAGGTTGTGACCTCATAACCTTCCTGGCAGAGGCACGCTTTGTATTTTTTTAAAGATAAAATTTACTTTTGTGTAACTTAATTCAGTTTACAAGGTAACCTGAACATTATTAGGTAGACTAAAGTCCTGGGTCCAACAAATTGTACAAAATAGATATAAAAATTATTAACTTGATGAAAGAGAGAATGAATGATTTAGAAATGCTGAAATATTTGAAAATATGATCCTTACGGCTGGAGAGATGGCTCAGTGGTTAAGAGCACTGTCTGCTCTTCCAAAGGACCCGGTTCAATTCCCAGTACCCACATACCAGATCATCGCTATCTTTAACTCCAGTTCTAGGGGATCTGACACCTTCATACAGACATACATACAGGTAAAACATTAATGCATGTGAAATAAAAAAAAACAACATTTTTACAGGTTGAAAAAGAGAAAATATGATCCTAGCAGATT